GGGGGGTTTTTTTTTCAACCCCCGGGGGCCCCCCCCACCCGGAAAAAACCCCCCAAAAAAAAAAAAAAAAAAAAAAAAAAAAAAAAAAAAAAAAAAGGAAAACTTGTCACAATTGCCGCCACATCATTAGAATCTTAGTTCAGCTTTTCTCTTGCCATCTTCCACCCCTCTCCCCCCTCTCTCTTTGTGAACGATGTCTACCTACAGTGAAGACGGCTGACGGAGGTATAAATAAGAGAGGGGGAAAGAAGAAGGAGGAATGGAAACACAATCAGAGATGATGATTCCATTGGTTATTTATAATCAGATGAGGCTGAAGCCTCGCGGGTCATTACTTGATTATCCATCTTAAGGGGATTGTCAAGATCCCACTCCTTCAAGATTTCCTCCGCCTACACATTGTGGTCTTTCAACCTCCCCACCAACCCCCACCTTTCATCATGCTCCTCTGACAGTCAGATTTCACTTTCAGTTTACTTTGCAACTTACAGACTCAGCTCAAACTGTCTTTTTTTTTATTATTAGCTGATCCACCTCTGCTGTGAGAAAACAGGAACAAAACACCAGACGTTTAGGTGCTTTATAAACCCTATTAAATCAATGATAGCAATACCATGTTTGTATACTTGGTGAGTAATTTAGTATCTTTTGACCCAAGCAGTTAATCAAATTGCATCACTGTGCACTAGGTACTATTGTTACTGCTAATCATTATTAATATGATCAATAATCATATTCATATATTTTCTAATTAATCTCACAAATTAACAGATTAACTATTTTTGATGTAGCTTATTATATATTTTCTTTATAAATAAAATATTTATATTTCACAATTTGCAAGTATGAGCTAAGAAAGACAGATGAACATAAACCCAAAGATTGTTAGATTAGGTTAGCCAACTATGTCATTTTTGCGCATCATTAAAGGTTTGGTCAGTTGGTCAAGAACTTAAAGTTTCATGACTCTTTGAACAAAAATGCCATTTAATGGTTGCTTGTGTTTGGGAGGTCTCTGTTTGACTCACTTACGTAGTGTATTTCTTACGTATATTGTAAAAACACTCTACAGTACTTTATTTGTTTATTTTGTTATCTGTTATTTTTATACACTTTTCTAAGGTCATTGTGTGAGCACTTCTGCTATAACCTTTTGCTGCTGGAACACCACAAAATCCCCACTGTGGGACAATGAGGGGCTTTTCTATTCTATTTTCTAGAGTTGTAGTAAGTCTTGGGCTCAAGACCATATTTTCAGGTTAATTTTTACTCAATTTAGTCTTGGTCTTGGGTTTATTTAACAGGACCGGTCAAGACCATTGCTGATAGGCTTTGTCCATACCTTACTGATACGGACCCTTTCAAAAACAGCAAAAACTTAAACTCATTGGTAGTGTAATGATTTCCCCCAGATGCAGCTGCTACCTGCCCACTATCAGTGTGAAACTGACTGACCCCTGCTTGAAAAAAGGAAAATGGAAGACTACCGTTAAAAATACCTTATTGAAATGTTAGCTTTTTCACACTGCTCATTTAACTTAGCTGGTTCTGATGCTTTTCATTATTTCCCTCTATTACAGTTAATTTTTGTTTAATTGAACTTTTTCAAGAAATGAAACAAGTTTTGCATGTGCATGTATTTTGCATGTGCATGTATTTTGTAGAGATATTGTTTTGACTAAAAAATATATTTTAAGTAGCCTTTTACAACTAAAACATAATTTGATGAGCAGACTGCAACCTCAGTAGTTCAGTTTCAATGCATCTATAATCCTGTAGCCTATTTTCCTTCATTTACTTTAGGTCAGAAGTTCCCATGCTGTTGGGCAGATGTGACATCAAGCGTTCCCATGCTGAATTGGTCTAAAAAAACGAATTCCCTTGAAGTAGCTTCGTTTTCAAGCCTTTAAACATATCTTGTGTTTTTGAACACAAGTGTTCAAAAGTTTGAAAATACAGGTACATCAAGGGAATTGGTTGGTTTTTGTATATCATTATAACATAAAAATTTTTTTTAACCAAATTTAGCTTTCCTCTCATCTGAGCAGCTCCCCCTCTGTTAAGTATAATCTTTAGATTTTATCGAGGTAATATATCAGGCCCTATGTCACTATATGTGGCTAAAATTGTATCCTGAAGGAGGGGCAGTGTATCAGGATGACAATGCACCAATTCACACAGCAAGACTGGTGAAAGATTGGTTTGATGAACATGAAGTGAAGTTGAACACCTCCCATGGCCTGCACAGTCACCAGATCTGAATATTATTGAGCCAATTTGGGGTGTTTTGGAGGAGCGAGTCAGGAAACATTTTCCTCCACCAGCATCACGTCGTGACCTGGCCACTATCCTGCAAGAAGAATGGCTTAAAATCCCTCTGACCACTGTGCAGGACTTGTATATGTCATTCCCAAGGCGAATTGATGCTGTATGGCCGCAAAAGGAGGCCCTACACCATACTAATAAATTATTGGGGTCTAAAACCAGGTGTTTCAGTTTCATTGTCCAACCCCTGTATTTCGATTACAACTTGTCAAAAAATGCTAAAATAAGGAATTGTGGCTAAGTCAGCAACTCTATCCTACTTTATTTAAACTGGCAATAAATTATCTGCTTAATCCGATTCAACTATATTTCAGATAAGGATTCCCTTAAGACTGCAAATAATTCTATCTGACATTTTTTTCTGTATTAGCTATCATATGTGGACGCACTGTATATGCTGTATATATCCCATGCACCTTTTTCTTCCTTTGGCACATTCTTCTTCTTTGACTATTTGAGCTGATGTAACAAGTACATTTCTCCACTGTGAGATCAATAAAGTCAATCAATCCTTTCTTGTAAACTGTCTTTTTAACCACATGGTCTGTGTGAAACCAGCAAAATTCAGCCAATATAAATATCTTTCTCTCAACTTGAATTAGCTTAATTTAAGTGTGAAAACATTTTCAGATCCAAGGTCCTAAGCTAATCGAACACAAGATATATATTGCAACCCTGCAAGGTCAGCAACAATCCTCTATTTATCTTGGGAGTAGAATTTAGAAAGCCTAATGACTGTGAGTCACATTGTGACCAGTGGTGGAAAAGTTTCACCACTCAGATGAAAAAACAGACCCTTAAGAAAGTCATCCCAACACACGTAGCTCCGTTCAAGTCAATGTCAGACCCGTCCGCCGCTCTAACAGGACAGCCGTTTAGCATAAAAACAGAGTGGCTTCTCTCCTTTTACTGGCTTTCCTTCCCTGTGTGACATATCTCTCTGAATCCCTCACTCCTCAAAAAGTTGCTTTTGAGTTTTTCAAAGAACACGGTGCCATTGAGCTGCAACAAAAGCCAAGGATAGCTGACTATTGGGCCCTGATGAGGTCCACTCCCTCATTATCCAGGAGCAGAAAACATTTGATGCTTTTTCTTTTTTTCTTTTTTTTTTTTTTGTTTGGCCTGGAGAATTGACCAGGCCTCAAAGAAATGCAGGGTGGGAAGGCTGAAAAAGAGATGAAGGGGGAGAGATGAGGGGGAAAGGTTGTAGTCCATTCAGCCATGTGTGTCTTACAGC